TCGATCGTAATATGCTTTGAATCTTGTGTTCTGATTTGCGGATGGTGAACGCGTAAGGGTAGCGCCGAAATGCCGTCGACGGGCTTGGGTGCGCATCCAGCACACGCCTGTGACTTTTCCCGATACTTTGGCTGGGCATGCACACTCGAAGCTCACGAAGGTCGCACGAGTAGTGGGTAACTACTCGTGCCGTTTCGAGCCTTCCAGTGACTATGATCCAAAGTTTTATCAAGGGAATGAACTCAGTGTCGATACGTGCGTTAAAGCAAAGCATACTAAGAATAGTCTTTGTTCTTGGCCTGCTCCTGTTTTCTGATTATGCATTAGATGCCTTTAATTCTTGTCATTTTACTTGTTTTATTGGGAAGCTTTTGTAGAAAGTTTTTGTACACTGAACGATAACCTATATCAATACGTTGCAAGCCCAAGGGTGCCAGCGCAATATCAGATTTTGTTATCTGGGGTTTAAAACAACCAACTTAAAAGCTTCTTACTCCCATAATCGAACAGAAGAAATGGCTAAGTCCCAGGCATGTCCAATGTTGTGAGTTCATGCTTATGCAGGAGTTTTTTTTTTATTCTCAACAGAACTTTAAGGAACTAATTAAAAGGAGGTAGTAGATACGTGTACGTCGTCTGCATTGTACATCCGTAGATCTCGGCAGACACTACATGGGTGAATAACCGTTGGAATATTTTGATTACTTAGCCGAATATGATTTAATTTTTTTAACGAACGGTTTAATAGGCCATGTTGGAATTGCAGCTTTAAAGGGAGCCATTATTAAAGGCCTACCCAATTTAGAAAGTTCGCGAACAAACAACGACCTTTGAAATATTCATCGCTAATATTTTGCCTTTCTTCGCCTAATTAAAAAACCGCGCGCGCGAATGAGTTTGTGCTGATAGTGATGCGTAAAAGAATGACACAGTTGTTTCTGTCACCTTGTCACTAACTCGACAGCATGTCTTCGGTGGACTCGCCGGCGCCGCACATCAAGACGACTAAGTCACTATTCTACGTATTATTTTCATAACGCGGTTTCTGAATCAAGCGAAGGCAAACTTTTACGATAAATTTCGCGAACCTCGTTGTCTTTTCGCGAATTGTCGAAATTGTGTTTGCCTTTAATAATGACTCCTTTTAAAACTGCAATTGCAACATGGCCAATTAAACCGTTAATAAACAAGTTAACTAACGGAGCTTAGTTAATTGTTAGACATTGCAACGGTTATTCGCCAATTTATTGTCCACCGAGCCCTACAGATATAACGAAAGACGGCATCCGCATATCTGCCACATCCTTTTTTTTTTTTTGTAAAATATGTAAAGTTCTGTAAAGAATCAAACAAATGTCTGCGTGAACCAGATGCACCCCCTGTGGAACAATGGGTCTTTCCCTTCGAATACCCAGCTCAGGTGAGACTTACCTGGTTGTCAGAAAGCAGCTGTCGATTGAATGTAATGTTATGAGAGTGTGGGTTTCAGATAGTTTACCCTCAAGAGGATAATGCGCTGCATATTGCAACCATGTGTGCGCTGCACATTGTAACCATTATTTAAATACCGTGCTGTAAACTATGACAACTTTTTCCTTGCCTGATCTACGTGAGCTCATGTTTTCTGCTCAAAATGATGTGAAATAGTTGCTTATTTTCCTTAAATCTTATAAATCATTACTTGTTCAGTCCACGTTGTCTTAGTCTTTGAACTTAAGTTCAATGTCAAAACGTGTGAGAAAAATTGTCACGGCTTATAAGCCATTTCTTACAAGTGAACGTCGGGTGGTCCTCGGACGGCCATGCAAGCCATGAAGAACTAAAAGATTCTCACCCATTTGCGACCGTCGCTTGGGTGGTTCGTCGTATAAATGAACACAAGAATGAGTGACAAGGGAAGCGAGCTGATTAAGGTCAAGAAAAAGAAGACGGGCAGAAAAGAAGACAGAAAAGCAATCTCGGACGTATGTGCCGTTTCGTTCCAGTGAAAAATAAAAAAAAAAAAAAAAAAAAAACTGATTCTGAGTTTTAGATATCTCTTTCAATCATCTAATGTTCGGCCTTTGCGAGAAACCGAAAGTCGCAGCTAATTCTACGCAGAAACAACTTGCAATCTGCTTCTTTAAAGTCGCAATTGTTTTTATGTAAAGGAAGGGTAATGTAGCTTGTACCGTCCAATACAATGAAGCATCATGTTGCTAACGATCGTGCCGCAGCGTAATTGATGCCGCGGTACGACCGCTGGCAGGTCGTAGCTGTATCAGAAATCCTATGTGCGCTCCACCAAAGCGGCACCAAAGATTCGTATTTTCGCACGTACAGCCGCGCACGCGCACACCTTGTGGATAACGCGCCGGTGTCGACACCTGTCGCGATCAATACCACGCGCTTCAGGCGAGCCCCTCCGGTCCCAACACTACCCAAGTATTCTAGTACACTGTAGCACGATGTGTGGCGCGCGAGCGCCTATGTAGTGTGCGTGGCCGTTGCACGCATAGCCCGCACCCTCACAAGACCCGCCTCCTTATTATGTCTGCGCCAGTTCCACGCGGAGTGATATTGCCGCGCGCGCAGCTGGTCAAGTAGGCAGCGCGCGCGTGACCTAACAATTATCATGCCTGGCTCCCACGCGAAAAGCCAGGGTTCGATTCCTGGGAGCGGCGCAACTTTTTGTTTATTCCTGATTCTGACAAATTCGAGAATCCTGTTGCTTGTTCGAGGTCCGAATGTTCTACGCGTCGAACTTTCTACGCCGATGATTGCAGAAGCCCACGCATGACTGTGGCTCCGCGTGGCGAGCCGCAGTCAGTTTCGCCCCAGCGTTCGACTCTGCTGTCACGCCGACTTCGACGCCCGCGACGCTCTGCTTTCTTCTGTTTCCTTTTTAGTTTTGGGCACAAGTTTGCTCCATTAAACGAAGTGCAGGCGAAGTCGCGTCCTATCGCCGGCGTTTGGTTGGCCCCGGCCACCCGTAGCTTTAGCCGATCTCGGAGCAAAGCTTACACGAAGTATTGCTGAAAACGTGAGCATTGGGCTACACAGCACACGCATCGTGATGGTGGTTCCGTCGGCCAAAATCTTCGCTAGCAGACGGCCGAATGAGCGCAGCGGCGCAGTGAGCGTAACTGGGAATTTATCTCGGCCTCTGGGTGCGCCGTGTTTACGGAGCGATGCGACAGGCGGCGCAGGTTGTACCGTGCACAGACCGGAGCGCTGTTTCAACTCATATTGTCCGCGAGAGTACTATCTCATTGCAGACACATAGATCTTGTATTTTAGCACAGCAGGATCCTTCTATCGAAAGTTCTTCCTTCTTTCGATAACTCGTGGGTAAGTCTAAAACAATGGCGACGTCTTTTCTTTTTTTTTTTTTTATTGCTTTGTTGTTTGTTGACGTAATGACGCGGGACACGTCTTTTTTTGGTGAGAGCGCATATAACCCGAGTTCCCCAAGCTTCGTTTAGAGTATATTGGTCGGCAAGAAATGCATCCCACGGTGGTTGTTGAGTTCTGTTTTTCTTGTCCGTGTGGTAGACGAGTGTGGAGATGAGCCTGGCACAGAGTGCAATTATCATTGCGAACGGCCCTAGGGTTGTGTGGAAAAAGGTGAATCATAAAGAGGAAGCTTTGTGTTTGTATTTGTCACCTCTCCCCCCAAATTTCCGGGAAAAACTTCTAGGTTGTACCTTACACGAGTCGCCTGCACCCTGCCTTTGAAATTGTTTTGACGGCCCTCAAGTGGAGGACTCGTTCATCGAAGAGAAGAAACACAGGGCAGATCCACAAAGGATGAAAGAGAAGGTTTCGAGGGGTTAATCGAACGAACCTCGTTGTTTCTTTGTTGAAGGTTTATCAGGGAGGAGGGGACCACACACCTATATAACCTTGAAAGGATATGTTCAGCGATAACTGAACATTTCCTTTCCAAACCTATATGTTGTACCCTACACGAGTCGCGTGCACCCTGCCTTTGAGCTTGTTCTGTCCGCCTTCAAGCGGAGGACTCTTTCATCGAAGAGAAGCAATACAGGGCAGATCCACAAAAAGATGAAAGAGAATGTTTATAGGGGTTAATCGAACGAACCTCGTTGTTTGTTTGTGGTTTATCAGGAAGGAGGGGACCATACACCTCTCTAACCTTGAAAGGATATGTTCAGCGATAACTGTGCCGTGGCTGTAATAAGTAACTTTGCGCACTTATTTATTTTTCTTTTTTCGCGTATCTGACTCTCTGTCGTCGTGAAGTCACATGTGCGAACTGGGGTAAAATCAAAATCGGGTAACTTTTGTTGTCATCTCCTCCAAAAGTAATCAAATAATGTTACTCGTTACTCTACCTAAAAAGTAAAGAAAATAAATGACTCGTTCCTTCTCTCTACATGTAATTACTTTGTTACTAAAAGAAGTAACTAGTTACGGGTAACGCGTTACGTACCAGAAGTCTGCTTTCAAGCACACCAATATTCATAGTTCGATTACTTTTCGTTGTCTCGTCCGAGTTTCGGAGAATCCGTACGGTCAAACCATTACACCGACTTTGACAGGACAAAGTAAACAGCGTGTAGAGATGCTTCTACACATGTGTTCGGTCCACCCGAGGGGCCCCTCATCAAATCAATGACTTTGTTGTGTCAAGTACGTCGGCGTCACTTTTCTTTTTCTTGCCCGTGGTAGTTTTTAGCAGCCCTATCGAAAGAACGCAACTCCGAGGCTTGGTTTACCGACACGCACCTGCAAGAGGGATCCGTCGATGGAGGCAAGCAGCGAACACACTGAAGTTCGACAAGACCAAGTGATAGACGCGTCCGTCTTCGCATCGCCGCCTGCAAGCGTCGCTCTCGTTGCGAGACGCTGCAAAGCGCAACCTAGGGGGCGCTGCGTGAATCCCCGAGTGATGACGTACGAAAGGGAATCGTGCAGGCCTTGTCCGCTAGGGGGACGGAGGCTCTTCACGCAGCCACGCACCTGTCGAAGCGGGAAACAAATACTGCACCACTCAATGAGCTGACAACGGCTTTCTTTTATTGTCTCTCGGCAGGCCGCTGACTAAAAAGAGCGCACCTGTCGCGGTGCGCAGCCGTCTCTTCTCGATACATGTTCTGCGGGCGATAAAGACTCTATGGTTCGCGCGGTGTATACATAGCAGTGTGGGGTATATAAAGAAATCTTCCTCTGTTAACAGACTAGGGCACGTGATGATATCATGCTGGCACGTAAACTATGCAAATGTACAAACAAGCTGGGTAAGAAAAAAAAAATGAACTCCTCGGTACGGCAACCGGACGGACGACGCACGGACGGACTTGACGCTCGAATAGAGTGTTACCCCTGAAATGGCGCACACCGACTAGGAACGGGGGGGTGGGTGTACAAATATGGCGACTCCCGTAACTCGCCGGCAGCGCGCCGCTAGAGCTGTGCTCGGCCTGCCGCACTTGGAACCTCCGCGGACGATCAGTGGCGAGGGAGGACGACACGTCCTGTCACCGTCATCGTCATCATCGTGACCACCACCATTCCGCCATTCTGTTGAGCCTGATGTAGATGACGTCACACGCACATGATGGGTGGCATATGGGCGATCTTGGCATCGTCTGCAGTAACAATTATATGACAAGATTCGATAGATTGCACGCATTATTAACCACATTCCCAATTCACCGTGGCATAAAAAAGTCGTCACCATTTCCAGTTAGGCCCAGCGCGGTCGTCGTTGGCAACGGGCATAGCAGATGAAGAAAGATGGCCATTGGAAATGTCTTGTTCAGGAGGCATTACTTGCACCTCATATGCGGATAATCTAGGAATATATCATAGATGACCGGCGTATAATCTTCCAACAGGCGAGCATCCACCATAGCCGTATTCCGACATATCCTTTGAAATCGGCCGTTTACCAGCGGCATAAAAGAGACTTTTTTCTAAAAAACAAAACAAGAGACAAAAAGCATCGGGGAAATATAAAAAATACGACTGAACTGTTCATTAAATTCATTGTGATACTAAATTATTTAAATCAAGGTGTGTTTTCATTAGAAAACGAACGATAATTCGATAAAATGAAAGTCTCTGTAAGAACAACGAGACGTCAGTTGAGGTACTAAACAACATAATCGGCCAAGAATCTCGCACCATGTAAAACGTTTTGGCGCTCGAAATATTTTGAGTAAGTCCGCTTTGGTTGGCATGTCTACCGGACATGCGAAATGTTCCGTAACATTCAGGTCCCTGTGGGACATTGGGCGTGCGGTGTGTACCGGAGAGGGATGTTTACACATGTATGATAGACCAACGTCTCACTTCTAAGGGCACTTCGTGTAGTCTCATTTTGATGTCTTAATGCGCTCACATTAACGCTTTCACGCCCGCACTCAGAATATTCGCAACAGGCTAAACATCTGCCCAGTCTTTAAACAGAGTCACTGTACGACTCTTGCTGCCTGTGGAATAGTTGGTTTCTTGAGAGGTTGTTTAGCTACTTGCTACAATAGCAACGCCACGACGCATGCATGACCAGTTGTACAACTAACACTGGCTAGCAGACACACCTGAGGTAACAAAAAGATATGCAAATATAACAAGTTTGCAGGTATGGTCCAAACAGTAATCTAGATAACGTTCAGACGTCCGAGTAGCCTCAACCGTCAAGCTCGGGCTTTCCCAACCCGCGTCTAACTTCGGCCTCAAAGGAACGGCCAGTAATGGTCGTCTAAATAGCTTCCTCGACGTTAACCTCACAAACCTCGTATCGGGGATATACCATCGAGCAATTGCCTCACGTCGATGCCTCTTCTCGCAAGACCTCTTTCCCCTATGAAACGAAGAAAAAAAAAACGTGTCTAATCCTTCAAACTAGACGCGTTTTCTTTACGTGTTGACATGAGACCCCAGGGCGACCAAAGACATCGCCGCTGTCACTTGGCGCAGAGTTCGTCGCGACGTCATGGCTTGTCAACTATAGTCCGTTGCAACCTAAGAACGAAGGGCGAGGGTAAGACGGGCCAGGGAGGAGGAAGCAGACGGAACGCTGGAGAAGAGAGAGGGAAACCTCCTGCTCTCTTTAGCGTTCACACTGCTTCCTCCTCCCCGGCCCGTGTTACTCTCGCCCTTCGTTCTTAGGTTGCAACGGACTATAGTCACACAGCGAACCACTGTCTCTTGGCAGACAGACCAATTTGATGACCTTTGTGCTGAGAGCGAATTAGAGGGCAACGACGGTCAATATCTTCCCCCCACTATCAAGTTGATTTTTCTCGCAAGTACTGATATCTAGGCGTTCTATGACGTCACTACGACCTGACCCAGGGACAGCGGCACTGAAACACCTCGAGGCCAATCCAATCATTCTCCACGGCGGCATCATACGGGAATTGACAGCATTGCCTTTCCTGAACTGTCGGCGGCTATACCATTGGCCAAGTGGCCAATGCACGCCCACCCCGCAGACAACCTCAGTAGGGTTCAGAGTGCCCAGAGCGATGCGAGCATCGCGATGGTGGTGGTCAACACGGCGTGCGGCGGCGGCGCGCTCAATAAATTAGGTGGCTGTCGATGGTGGTGTGCTCGTGACGACGACGCGCGGCACACAGGGGCGACCAAAGAAATCGCCCCGCTGACCGCGTACGAAACTGCCGTCCGGAGCGCGCGAGGCGGCTGAGGTACGAAACTGCCGCCCCGCGGCCAAGCTCCGTCATCAGCTGGACGCGGCTCGCTTCTCCAGTTCGCTTAGCGCCACGTCCACGAGCAAGTAGAGGCAGCTGAAGGGGTCTCCACTGTCGTCTCCGCGCTGGTGACCGACGACCATGTCGCGCGTCGAGCCGCCCTGCCCGAACCAGGGCGACACGTCTTCGTCGTCGTCGTCTTCGTCGTCGTCCTCGTCGTCGTCCTCGTCTTCGTCGTCGCCCTCGTCGTCGTCGTCCTCGTCCCACGAGGGCGATGGGTCTTCCTTGAGGTCGCGCTCGTGGCTGCGCTGCCACCTCTTGGTGAGCTTGAGCGGGGAACGAGGGCAGGTGGGACCGACCACGTCCGAGTCGTCGCTGTCCTCGTCCTTGATGGCGCCGGAGACCTGGGACGGAAATACAGGCTACATTTATCCTCCGAACTGAAACTTTATGATGCCGTGAAGTTTATCTGAGTACCCTGACGCCTTCTAAAACAACCAGAGTCGTACGTTACGCCTCAACTGAAGGTCCCCGAGCATGAACTGGCGCCGGAGTGCCCAACAGGTATTGTCATCATTAGCTCGTACCAGGCACGTAACCAGAAAGAGGGGGGGGGGGGGGGGGGGGGGGGGAGCGCCCCCCCCCCCCCAAATCTTCTATTTTGCCGGGGCCTCCTCTCCCCCTCCCCCTCATACAGCATTTTGCCATGGGCGCCCCCCCCCCCCCCCCTCCCCCCCGAATCGAAGTCCTGGCTACGTGCCTGGCTCGAACACAGTGGTGTTCTGCTCTGACAGGTTAAGAACCCATTAGGTGAGCCGCGTCCGGTGCGAGCTTCCCGTCTTCAGTAACATTTCATCACTTAAGCGGGTTTCACATGCAGCGATTTTCGCCCTAAAGCGGCGCGATTTCTGCCGTCGCGGCGCTCTGGCCAGCCGCAGCGGCAGAGTGGCACGATTCCACTAGGTTGGAAAGTTTTCGCGCGGCAGAGCGACAGCTTCCCAGCTGGCCACTCACAACGCGGCGGGAAATCACGTGACAGAAGGAGAAACATTGTGGGAAAGCTGGCGCGTAGGACGGCGGAATTTTTACGTTCTTGAAGCAGACGACAAGTAGAGAAAGTACGCAAGCGACTGCTTTGCGGTTTCTTTTTTCCGGCCGGTCGAGCTTTTTCCCATACAAAAATGGTCCATGGTCGTTTATGGAAAATTCTATGGCAGGCTATCGCCCCCTATGGCCTTCTACGGTCGGCCATACAAATCCATAAATACAGCTACAACCAGCTATAGAAAATTCTATGGCCACGAGTCTAAAGACTGGGTATGAATAAATTGTCTTTACCCGCCTAAAGAAAATTCTATGGCCCTGAGTCTAAGACAGGGAAGTAATAAATCTTCTTTACCCGCCTATAGAAAATTTTATGGCCCTGAGTCTAAAGACTGGGAACCAATAAATTTTCTTTATACGTCCATTGAAAATTTTATAGCAACGAGTCTGAAAATTCCTCCTCCATCCTCGCGGCGGCAGCGGCGGTCTGCTAAACTATCTACTAAAACTCTCAACACGGGCTTTTGAACTTTCTGACTTGGGAAACTTGATGTTTTTAAGCGGTCGCGTTATATCACCGAAGACAGTCTCGTTTCAGTCGTCTGCTGTGATACCCAAGTCATGGTTCGTGTGTCTTTATCACTCCCGGCACCTACTTTTTATAGGAAAAACGCTCCAAGCTAGAAAATTAAAGCAATACTAAATTTTTGTAATACCGGTGGCAAAGCATGACCCAAGATATCTTCTCTGCTGTTGCAACGAGTCTTGAAAACCAGTACTAATAATGTTTGCTTGAAAAATCCATTGAAATACTAGTGCAACAATTAGAATTAATTATTACCACACCAAAACCGTAAATAGATTACACTGCAATAGCTTGATTGCAATGTTCACCACCAGTGTACTGCATTTCAACACTTCATTGGCCACACGATTCATCAAACTTATTAAATAGATAATTAATAAATTTTTGTTAATTAGCCTACATCCTTAGATCTACATTTCCTTTGCTCTGGGTGTTGAATTAAGAGATGAGGGCTATTCCAAGAGACAATTCAAATAATGTATTCAGTACAAGTAATATTGGCTCCGCCTCAATGTTTTTGCGATAAATGATGAGTCACCGGCAAAGTCGGATTAAAAAATTAGACTGCCATATATATAGCTAGTGCAAACACAACATATGTAGAGAGGGGTGAGGGCGCGGTGTCGCTGCATTTTTGTTGTTGTGTGGGTTAGTGTTCTGCTTGTATTCGGTGTGTTCAGAGGTGTACGTATAACCATGTAGTGTTCACAAGTTGGGGACCTTGAAGTAAACTTTTTTTTTTTTTTAGTTTTCTGGCTAAAGAGAACCATAGGGTAAGCCATTAGAAAAGCTAGAGAGCGCTATGGCTGGACAGCGATAGGGCCATAGACAAAGCTAAAGAAGCCCATAAAGACGACCATAAAAACTGCTAAAGACAGCCATAGAAAATTTTTTAGCTAATTGGGCCAAATAGCTAAAGCTAAATACTAAGAATTTTCTATAGCCAATCATAGGACATTTTTTGTATGGGTTTGCTTCAGCAGTGGCGTCGGAACTGTTCAGAAGATTATGGAGGAGGGTGATTGCTGTCCCCTTCCTCGGAATTTGTTTTCTCAATGAAACACGCGGCTCTTTTTTTTTACTTTCCTCGCCTGAGTACCAAGCGTAGCGAGCGCAAGAGACGCTAATCGGAAGCCGCTCGTGCAAGCGCTAGTGAAACAATTAAAAGACGAAGAACTGAGCGACATTGAGGTGTCTTTTCGAACAGAAATCGTCCACCAAGTAAGAAAATGAATCGCGCCCAGTTCAATGAACTGCTTCTAAGTGAAGTGTCGAAGCGTCGGGTTCTTTGGGACGCGCAGCTCAAAGAATTTAGGAACAATGGGACCAAAGAAAAACTCTCGGAAGAGGTGACTGAGGCCGTGAAAGTGATCGCATCTGCTTGCTGCTAGCAACATTGGCTATCGCAATGGCAGAAAACGCTCGTGTGAAATGAAATCTCGCGATGCGTGCTGCCGCGCCGCTAGCGGCAGCGATTTCGGCCACGGAATCGTTGCATGTGATACCCGCTTTAACGCTCATTCACACTGGAAGTAGATACGCGTTCGCAACCGCTTTGCGAACGCGGATTCACTTCCAGTGTGAATGAGCGGTTAGGGAAGCAAAGTTCGGCGGAAGGCAACGAGCGCGACCTAGAGGCGGAGCATCCACTGCGGGTTCTTAACCTGTCGCCGACTATACACCTTTGCAAGTGGGATCCCGGCTTAAACCCGAACCGCGATGCCAAGTGAGGGGGGGGGGGGGGGGGGGGGGCTATGCACTCCAAATAGGACGTTCGCTGCTTGTCTTACGATGTTGCCAGGCGTCTCTTGCTCAGACACCATTGAGCATAAAGAAATCCTAAAGCTATTCATTTAAAAAAAAAAAAATGCAGGTGTTTTCTTCGACCGAGAAAGAGCAATAACAATTAAATAAAAGAGCCGAACCAGTAACCAGCTGAAAAATTATAAAAATATCTGTAGTCTCGATGCATATCAAAATGCCCCAGAAGCTCCTTCCACACCCCCATTCAGCAAGCCAGCGTTCTTCCGAAAGAGAAAATAGTCCGCTACCAAGGTGCACGTCGAGCTGACGCCTTTAGGGACCACTGCATACCGCCTATACCCCCAAGAAGTAGAGGTCAGGCTGCACACAGAAATAACATACATTTGTGCGAGCAAGTCCACCAGTCCACTGCCAGGCCCAGCCCTCGTGCGCATTTGGCCGCGTCAACATTCTTCTCTTTCACATGCCAACACGACTCGTCATGGCTACGGCATTTCCTGGTTGGTCCACATTCGCCACCCTAATCATGTACCCCCAGCACACCCCAACATGGTGGAAACGTTACGCGGCGCCAGCATCGCTCAAAATGTCAGCGCGAATATCTCTCACAGACGTGCATAGTGACCGCAATTTCAGAGAGGTGTACGTGTTTTTCGCGACTTGCCAAACGATATCTCAGCTGGGCTTTTTATCTGAACACTTGGCGGAAACGTCGGCGACGAATTCGGCGGCCGTGATTGGCCGGCGGTGCGCTTAACCTTGGTACCGGCCAATCCCAGTGGTCGAATTCCTCGGCCGATTTTTTGCCAAATATCCAGGATAGAGCCCCTGTCCAGCCGAGGGTTCACCCCAGTTCACCCGAGTTCGCCGACAAAGCAGGATCTCTAGTACTGTAACCTTCGCTCGGCCTAAACTTTCTTTTTGGGAATATTGATTGTTTTAAAGGTAGTTCAGAATATGTGTGTGCTAATTACTTCCCTATAAAAGTAGCGACATCTCGGCTGGCGCCGCAGCACAACCAGTCCGCCCAGTGGTGCCTGTGTAGTGCGTCCTTCCATGATGGAGGTACAAACCTAACGAAGTGGATCGACAACAAAGAAGCCACAAACGCCGCTGCTCGTGATCTGTTGTTCGTTCTTTTTAATGGACCTTTCGCCGAATTACCCAAGCATGAAAAAGAATGCCGGGAACGTAAGTACACGCGCTGCGCGTGCTAGCGTTTTCAGCTCTAAATGTTCGAAAGCAAATGTTTAAAACCAATAGAACTTCGCACGCGCGTTTCACGGACGCTTTATTTTGGTTATTTACTTGAATATTTTCTATAGGGAAGGCGAGCAAGTACAGCGCTTGTACCTACGTTCCCAACGTTCTCTTTGATGCTTGGGTAATTTAGAGAAAAAACTATTTGTTCAACATCGGGCCTTCATTTCAATATAACCGCCATCTCTGCGCTGTCCCATTAATCTATTGGACATGTGTGGCACGCGCTGTAAGCGTGCGTACGCAGTAACTGTCGTCTGCGGAATAACACACGATGAGCGTCCGTCCACAGCATGGGTGAGAAACGATAGAAAGGCGTTTCGAATATTGCTCGACAGAGATAATGTCTCGTTAAGGTGGGCACCTCCTTTCCACCAAAAAAAAACGTCAATGCTGTGTGGTAGCCGTATTAACGGGCTCCGTATTAACGACACACTGACGTACCAGGGACGTGGCGTCGGGGCCGTCGCGAGGGTGTCCCGACAGTCCGTGATGTCTCGATGGGTGCTGAGGCTGATGCTGGGCCGCCGTGGGCGGCATGGGAGGCGGTGCCAGGGGCGCCTGGCTGGGCGGGGACCTCCCGGACGACGATGAGCAGGACGACGAAGAAGAGGACGACTTCCGGGTGATGGTGTACTGGTGCGGGTCGTGGCCCTCCTTGCGGATCATGTCCGGCAGGATTCGCCGGCGGGCGTTGATGAACCAGTTACACACCTGCAGCACCGACAGGTTCGCCTCGCGGGACAGGTGCAGCTTCTCCTGCGAACCGGGAAATCGGAGAGTTTGCTAGGGAGCGTTTTATCGGATGAGTACGGCACCCAGCGTTAAGCAAGACAAACACCTTTAGAGGCTGTCACTCTAAACAAAACTCAGGCGGCACGCCAGAGAGACGCCTAATTTGCAAAGTTCGTATACTACCAGCGGCATAACTTGGGCCTGATATGGCCCTGCTCGAAGGCAAAAGCACTTTTTAATGCAGTAGCACCTTCACTGTGATCCTAACCCCCTCTGTGATCATCACGAATTTTAAAACCGCCCTTCGAAATTTCGCAGCTTGCCGCATTTCCAAGCCAGCGCTCAAAATTCGTGACAGAAACCCGCCCCAGACCCACGTCACACTGATCTGGACACCCGCGCACGCTGGTCTCGAAGGAAACGAGGCGGCCCATAGACAAGGCCGAGGATACATTATCCGGGCACGGCCAAGCCTCTACCCTTACCATGGGGCCAGATCCATTAGGGACCGTCCATCCAGCTTCCTTCAAATCCCCACACACTACCTCCTCTCCCGTCAGATCTATCCACCAACCGACAAGACCCTCACCCTGGAGCAGGCCCATACTTGGCGCGAACTCCATACGGGCCCTTTTCCCAACCCTGCCACCCTCACCCACATCTTCTCCTCAATGTACCCCACTTCGGGATGCCCCGTATGTGGAGACAAGGCCCCTCTACCCCACATAATCTGGCTTGCCCACAAGACCCTTTTCCCCCAATCCCATCCCATGATGAGTGAGAGGCCTCGCTCCTAAGTTCCGACCCTGTGGTGCCACGCGCCTTGGTGGACCGCACTCTAAGGAATTCTCCATATTCCGTCAATAAAAGTTTTTTCTTCTTCTCACGAAAACCCGCCGGTGTCAGTCCGCGCCATGCATGACGTCACGAGGAGAGAGGGGTGGTGAGGAGGTATCGTGTTTACAGATTCAATGTCTCACCGCGGTAGCGGGGAGAGAGGTACAGGGTGACGCGTGCTTACGTCAGCGCTTAGGACCAATACGATCCTCGCACAGCTGGTGCAGAGCCAGACACGATTAGGCGCCGGGCCGCTTTGGAATGCGACCCAGCTCAGCTGCCGCTCGAGTGATGGATATGGTTCTCCCACGAGTGATCAAGAGAGGGGGTGAAGAGATTGAAAACGGGTCATAAACAATTGTTGTGTTGCGATTGCTGACCGATACCCAACGGTATCTGACACAAACAGTGCTGACACACCCGTAGCTTATAGAAGTATCAGAGTCATTCTTGGCCTCGATGGACCCACCAGGCCGTCTTGATGTGCCGGCATATGACCTCCAGCGCCGACCACACCACGCTGGAGAGTTCGCTCAAATGCCTGGTGTGTATTAGACAAAGTCTAATGGGCACACCAGACAACTGGTGTGCCCACCACGTTACCAAGTAGCTACAATATGCTGACCTTATGTGTCCACCAGGTTACCTGGTGTGGCCATCAGACCATTTAATGGGCATACCAGGCTGGCATGCTGTTTACATCGGTATTTCCAGTGGACACGCCAGATATCCTGGTGTTGCACGAGGATCATTTGGTGTATTTTTCATCAGGGATATAATTCAAAATAACTGATCATTCCTTGGGTACACAACTTCAAGCTTATATGATCATATTAAATCAGGGTGAGAAAGGTGACGATTGCAAATCAGTGGAAATAAACATATCTTATTTACCACAAATAAAGGAAGTTCCATTGGTGGATCCTGAGGGACCGCGTTAGCATGACCCTTAGGAAACGCCACACACGTCCCGCTTTGGAAAACGCTAAAGCTGACCCCTTCACTTCTGTGTTTTGGCGTTCTATTTTGCCTTTCTCATTTGCTCCCTCTCTTTTTCGCGCTTTTTTGGCTTTGTTACGGGTTCAGTGTTAGCGTTTCCCCAAAAGAGACGTGTGTGGCGTTTCCCAATGGCCATGCTAACGCATTCCCGAAAGATCCACCAATAAATATTTTTGTGTGTTTTCTATAATTTTTTTTCTGGTTCGCAACATTTCTTGTTAAAGTGCCAGACGTGAACCAAAGGTGCCAGGTATCAGCCGAACAAGCAGAAGTGAAGCCCAATGCTAGCCTCGGGAACCGAGTTCGAAAGAAGTCAGGTGACAGCAAACTGCCAGGCAAGGAGCCTGCCTCTGGTACTTGTTTTGGCAATTTGGAACCAAAATATCCAGATTCTGCTCAAAGAATATAAACGTTGATTATACCTTGGCTTTTTATGAACTTCAGGACCCTAAATCGCAAGACAAAAACCTAATTTCGGCCCAAAGAACTGTGCTACTTGGAAAAGGTTGCAATAGTTTACACCCATGGTGGTGTAAGAAATGGTGACGTATACTACTCGTATAGGCTTTTGTTAAATCTACTATACCCATGGCTGATGTACGAGTGCACCAACAACAAAGACCCACATACACCCTAACAAAAATATGTATCCACCTTCTACAGAAATTCTATAGAGAATCGTGTACAGAGGCTATAGAAATCCTAAAGAAAATGCATCCACTTTTAATCCCCTGACTATACTTTTCTATGAGCGTTTTATAGAGCATAGTTCATATAAATTGAATAGAAAATGTATACAAGGCAAATAAACATTCTAGAAACCTTTCTATAACCCTTCTATAGAGAATTGACAACTTTTTCGCGGAAAAATATTAATGATGTACATTACTTTCTTATATAAAACATGCATGAAGTGCACACGCCACTTGCCGTGTACACATATGCAGACATCACCAATACACGCCTAATATCACTCATTACGCTAGTAATATACCTCTCGCAAAATCGAAGCGATCCTTGCGGCGTAGTGACGCGCAAAGGATCGTGGGTACTTTTTGGCCACCGTTTCGGTTTCGAGGTACCGACCGACCTCAATTCACGACATCCAGTCACAACTAAATACAGTGCATGCTTTTCCAAATATGTTATCTTTTTTATGTTTACGGTGTTACATATTAATACGGGTAGAATGCTGAGGCACGTGCTTTTGGTGCTCCCGACGCACCGTATACCTTGTGCGTAGGTAAAGAACGAAGGAAGAACCGTACTGGGCCGATCACCCTCTTCCCTCGTCTCAATGTCCTAGGCTGTTGAAGATCCGCACAGGCCTTACTCCTACTCTTCGCTAAGTCTAGGCAGGAGGTCCCTACGGCTGTTGAAGATCCACCTTTCAACGGGGACTATCAAGAAGATGAATGCGTACACTCCAAGCAAGCGCTGACTTCATTTTCATGCATTGCTGAGATGCACCACACTTCGTCAACGGGGCAATCGAAATCGGAACCATGCCACTGCTCTCGGTGGTCAAAGAGGTTCCATAATTCAACGCGCGCAGTGTTGCATAAAGGGATTTTGGAAATAGTCTATTCAGTGTTGTTCACTGCTCCACCGGCTTATACATTCTATTGGCGCCGAGATGTTTCAGTGGCGCCCTCTTATGGTTTCCATTCGTGACGTCACGACTGGGATTTGCCTCGCCGTGACGTCACCAGTTGTTATCCTTGCTACTTATCATCAGGTGCGACGACGAGCTCGGTAGTGTGTTTAAAAAGCACAGTGGAAGCTAGGAGCCATCGCAATCCGAAACTAACACCGTCAAAGTTGACAATCTGACAATGCTCATATGCCCATGGTTTGGCCAATCTTGGAAAGCTGACCGCAGCGACGCTTTTAGTCGCGCACATCGCTAATACTTGAAAGGCAGATGTTAAAATTATTACGGCTATGTTGCCTTTTTTTCGCCAATAATTTATACGAAATGGGATTTCAAAGGGACGATGAAGGGTGTATCCGACAAAACGTTGCAGGAGGCGATAAATATTTATCAGTCTGAAAAGAAGCCTACGCAAGGAGGTTCAAACTGGGTGTGATTAAAACCACTAAATAAGCTACGCTTCAGCGTAACGACACTTCGACCATCTTGGTGCTTAAAATCATGGTTGCCAGTTATCTGAAGCTTTATCTCAAATTGCAGGAAACGCATTTCCAACCTCCAGAAACGTTAAAACAGTTCGCGACAGGGCAAAACAATTTCACCTGAGCTTCCCGACACCGCATCTAAAGTTGCGGAAGTCGCATTTTTGAATTGTGACTTCCGGCAGTTGCGTCTGCTCTGCACTAAGCACCAAGATGGCGACGCCCACTAGCAGATCGGGGAACGGTGTGCCGATACTCCAAGCCTAGCTCATTTAGTGGCTCTAGGTGTGATGTCGCTCCTCCGTACTGAGGAGGAGGCGAACGGACGTAACGCAAAAAGGAGTATAGACATTTGCAAAAATCGTCTTCTGCGCGCTGCCATCTTTGTCTGCTGGGCTGTGGAACGCCTTTTGAGCATGCGCTGTTGGTCTGCTGTGCGGTATATCGGACGCAGCGCCTGTGTCCACACCTCAGTGACTCGGCGCTTTTCGCCACGGGTGATTAGCGATGCAAAGGTCTATAGTGCTTTTGATAGTGCTGCGCACGACGTGTGAGACGCCGTATTGGCTCCTCTAGTACAACCCTTTCTCTATTTACTTCTGCGGCTTCGTACTTCGGCCGCCAGGTGCGGCGAAATTTTGATTCGGCCAGGAATAAATCACACGAAACAATGTGATGCTTCAGTACTGCAGTGTCCCCGTGTTGTCACACTTGAATGGCGCACAACGAAGAGAGGGAAATAGGTCCAGCCAATATTGTCGGGGCTGCATTAAAATCCACATTGAACATGGTGGTTAATATTCGAAGCTCCGAAAAAAGTCCAGAGTCGCCATCATCTTCCCGTTGACCGTAAGATGTTTTTTTTTTTTTTCTAATGTTATGCAAGAACAGATTGTACCAGCGGGTGTCAAACATTTGATCTCATAAAAGGCATTATTTAACTGCCACTACTTTTTTTTTTTTTTTGCGAGCAGAGGTTGCGACGGCAGGATGCAGGTTACATTTTCAGCGGTGACGTAAAATCCGCTAAATATGTCGGGTAAAAATCCTCCTCCAAATTTAGGGAATTTCGCTGACTCGGCGTTCAAACTTTTCGTGTATGTGCGAACATGATGACAGTGATGACAAAAACAGGCAGTTTTTATGCAGTGCATGGAAGTAATCATTCGCAGCGAGAAAGAGGCTCGTGACAGATGAATGATAGACTTCCGTCCCCCGAATGTTCACCTGCAGCTGACACTTCATAGCCGCCTCATTAAAAGAAAAATCTACTGAATTTGGAGGCTGCATCACTGATCTCTACTATAGGGGGCGGGATGACGCGTCGAGCGCGCAGGACTGAAGTCACCGGAAGTAAGGTGCTTGTCCCGGAAAAAAGCGCTTGGCAGGCTTTGTAACCCTCCCAAGTTCTGGTTCGAAAAGCATCGAGGGCGCTGGATTTTCGCTTGTCACCTGAAGAGAGTCTGCTTGTTGCGTAGTAAGAGCGCATGCAGACCCGAGAAGTATCATGGGAAGCCATTCAATGTAAACATTTTGAGATTCTAGTTGATCAAGTGTGCATATGTCCCAGCTTCAAATGCCACATTTTCGGGATTTAATTCGGAGCATGATTATTAACACCCACTCAAAGACACCGGAAAGTACTGACCGAAACATCGACTGAATTCACAAGGAAACCCAGCAGACGCCCGACTTCCGGGACAAGCATCAAACTTCCGGTGGCTTCACTTGCGCCCTCCTCGGAGGGCGGCTATGCGGAGAGTGCTGCCTTCGCAGCACTTTATGTTCTTCTTGCCTCAGTCAGCTAATGAGCCAATGTAAAACAAGAAATTCCACGAAAAAACAAAACAAAAACAGGTACGGACTTCTGTTGAGTTTTATCAAAGGTCCTTTTCTTGAAAATCCTCACATTTCATCACAAAATCTAACCTCTATCACAGTATATATTTGCGAGCTTCATCTCAAAAAAAGATGGAAGAAAGGCTTGAGAATCACCACGTCATCCGTTAAAATTAGAGTTGTGTGTTTTCGGGTGATGCGATAAAATCCGACAAACGCTCGACGGGCAAACTTTCGTCAATTTAGACTTATCAAAAAAAAAAATCAAGGTTACTATTTTTTTTTTCTTCTATTGTTGTACCGAGCAGAGGACATTTCCTCTGAAATCTTGGGGGTTTAGCATATATCTCGTCAAGTTTCGATGAGGACAGCGGGTCATTTCGCTTCTAGGTGAGGGAAAAAGACACTGGTCTGTTTTCCAGTTTACCATACTGTTTGTGCTTCTCTGAGAAGGAGGAGTCTTTTCATATCGGGAAAAAATATGAGCCCATAAGTCTTATAAAAGAGGGCGGAAGCAAATAGTAATTCTATGCTTTCTATGACTACGTCCAAGTGTTAGTTTTGGCGTATCGACCTTCATGCCACACCACTTCTTCGCAATTCTTTTTTGTATAGTTAGTATTTCCATGGCAAAAGCACCTATGTGAAATCCAGTTAAATCAATAAAATTGGAAAAGAGTGAATTAAGAATAAGATTGTGTTTGGATATTTTTAATTTTATTCTAAAGCATGCAAAATTGGGAACACGGATAAATTAAGCTTCGAATTTCGGAGGACTGGGAATCCAGGAATAACAAAATTCGACAAAAACAAATTTTTTTGAAAAAAACAAAGCTAAAAAAAAGAACACCCTCCGATTTTTACGAAAAATGAAGTCCGAAAGCGCAAGAATCCCAGATGGAATAGGGATGCGCACCTGGTCGGACGGGTAGGCGTTGTAGCGGTGCTCGTACAGCCACATCCTGAGGATCTTGACCGACTCCTTGGGCAGGTTTCCCCGCCTCTTGCGGGGCGACAGGTCCCCCAGCGAGGCGGCCGCGCCACGAGGGTACGGCAGCGTCCCCTCGTCCGCCGAGCACAGCTGCAGCTTGAGCCGGTCGCGACCTGCAAGGGGACGACGCGCGCTCAGAACCTCGCCACCTTTCGTCTTAGAACCCCAGGTTCGACTGGGTCGACGAACCTTCGAACTTTTAGGACGCTTCGACAAAATTCGCCCTCCGCGGACACGCTTCAAGGATGTTCAGGGTACGTTTGCTGCACATGCTCCGAACATTTCTACAGACTGTTTTCCAGCGGAGCTGTAAAGGGCTAGTTTCCCCAGGATCGTGTCCGTCAGCAAAAAAATGATGACACAAAACTCTGGACAGCTACCGCCATCTATGAGCGACGGCGGCAACCTTTCGAGCCTTTCCACTTTGACTTGCCGACTCGCGGCTGGCCATTACTTCATTCCCACATAGCACAGCTTCGCTGGTCTTCCTTCTTCCCCAAAGTGGAAAGGCTGAAAGTTTTTTTTGTGTGATCAATGTGACCGTCATACGAAGAAGACGCCACTGACTGCGGGCTGTCTTTCCCATGGTGGATTTGCAGCGTGAGGGCGGCGTAATACAGTCCGACGTCTTTCTTGCGCGACGGCCACCGTACAAAGGGTGTCTGCAGACCGGCTGGAAGCATACACGAAGCAAACACGATTCGAACATGGGTCAGGCGCGGATTACTCTCTCCTGCTGCGCGGGCGATGTCGGGGCTGCTTTAATGTTAACATCGATGATCCGTATCTCCTTGTGCCGGTGGCTTTTAGACGATGTGTCGACGACGTGGCCGTCTTGTACTTCGTTTCGGCTGAATTACGGACGCAGCCAAGGCTAGGAACTGATGGAACCGACGAAGTAGCGTCAAAAGCGCCAGTCACGGGTGCCTTTTCGGTTTTTGATCAGTTCGGCGATGAAAAAAACACGTAGAGAAACACGACGGACGCCACGATGGAGCGCTTTTCACGCTGTCCGGTTGGTCCCATCAGCGTCGGCTGCGTCCCTGCTAAACGGGAGGTCGGGATGGGGCAATAGTTCTCCAAAGTCTGATTGTGGTTTATTTTTTTTCTGGTGTTTTATTATCCTTGAGTTTTTATATTTTACGTATAAAAATAACAAGGACGGGTCATTACCTCGAAATCAGCTAAATACTTCTTAAAAAATGTCCCGGCAACCCAGAACAGCATAACTTATAGCCATATTGGCGCGCGCATTTTTTTTTTTTTTTTTTAATTGTGAAGTTGTTTGTTATCACATTTACGTTCGGAAGGAGGCCCAACCGTCTCCTCACCGTCGCGGTCTTCCGTAGCTTCATTTCTGGCGGATAATTATTAGCGAGAAATTATTTTTCCCTCCGTGAAAGAGCGTCGCTACGCATCCATGGTAGCATTCGAACACGCTTAGCTCTGTATCTAATTTTGGGTCATCGTCGCAGCTCGTAGAGAATTAATTTTTGTTCTTAATATTGTCCTATCACGACTACGTTTGACATATATATGCTTTATAATATTTACAATTGAACTATTGAAGTTTGGTTAGAATGCATTATATTTTATATTTACGAAACAACTTAAGAAACTTGTGCTAGCCCTTTGAAAATGGCGTTTTTGCGGTTTACAATTATTGTTAAATAAAATATTTCTCGCACGCGATGTTTTTCTTCTTTCTTACCCCGACGATTACGCGCTTCAATTTGCCGACCATCTTGATAAAATAACAGTTTAGTTAATTTCACTAGGCTATCTTTAGTGTTTGCCATGCCCCAGGTGTGCACAAGAACGTGATTTTTTTTTTTTTTTTTTGCAAATAGATAACATACATAATATAAAGAAACAAGCTATCTCAAAACTAACTCCAGATTTGTAAAAAAAGAGATCCAGCACTATAAACTGCGAAAATGTTCATTCAAATATCATAACTAATAAAAAAAAAATCTTTTTCTTCCGTGTCTTTTTTTTAATTTGAAACGAATTATAGTAACGCATTGTAATTGATTCGGTTTACGGTTTGCGCTTGCACGCGCTGACACAGAGAGTACCTGCTTAAAGGAACATAGCCTTTGGAATTCGGTTAATATGCATGGCAAATTCAGGCAACTGAAAACGCAAGCAAGGCTGGAGTTTCCGTTTGTATTCGAGGTTATTTGTTTCACTCCTTTGCTATGTTCTTTTTTTTTTTTTTTTTGTGCCTTTCCCGCGCATTAGCGATGATTTACACAACAACGTGAGGTCTTGCGTAACTGCGTTACGGTTATATCACGATGCGACTGCCAGTAATCACAGCAACCAAGCCGCGCAGCGCTCGTCTATCCCGGCGTTAAAAAAAAAAAAAAAGCACTGTCGAAAACAATTCGCTCGCGTTTGTGGATTCTCCATAATAATCTATAGTTTCCTGTGTCCACAAAGAGCACTAAGTCTAAAAAAATGGTACATTTTCATAGGAATACAGCGTGAACGAAATTGATTAAACGCAGTTTAAAGCGACCGAATAAATCGGTTTCTTAACTTGTCGCACTAGGATTGACTACAGAGACGCCTGAAGTTGGTGGAAGGTTGCACTAAAATTGTGGAAAGAAGGGCTCACCCGAGTAAATAAAAAAAAAAATATATGTTTTTCCTATACTTCCTATGTACACTAAAATATATTATGTGTCACTGTGAAATGAAGCAAAGACTAGGTGAGCTAACTGTATTTTCTTTCCATTTGACAAATTTTTCAATCGTAGTGAACGCCGGAATAGCTCACAACGATTTTCTCATGCTTTCGAGACAAAAGGCTTAGCGATAATTTTTTCCATGGACAATACCACCTTTTTTATTTTCTTCCTTCTGAGTCCCGAGGTTTCATGTATTCATATTCTCAATTAATGAACGCGCCAGCTTCGAGCACCTCCGTAGTAAATCCCGGCGTGATAAGCAACCGATTTATGCGGTCAGTTAAAACTGCGTTTAACCGATTTGGCCCACGCTGTAGTATTGACCGTTCCATTAGGTTCATAGCAGATTGCAAAAGAGAAAAAAAAAAATGCACTCCCCCTCTCACCCCGCGTGTCGTCCGATCTGCCGAGTGGGCTGTAGCTAGCGTCCGGCTGACGTGCAAACTCTGTTTAAAATCGCGTCATTTTGGAACTTTCAAGCGCAGATGCGCAGATTGTGGTATACTAGTTGTCGTGTAATATTATGCTAGATAAAAAGAGTCACAGGGTCCAATTACGCTGTTACCAGGGTGCAAATTAAAAAAATAAAAAGGGAAAACTGTGTCAGAATGGCCGGTCTCTTTGGCGAAAAGTAAATCCGGTTGCTGTACCTTCTTTACTATACAAAAGTTCGTACTGGTGTAGGCCTTTAGCGATCATGAGTGGATGTCTGAAATAATAAATAAAAACGTGCTCTCCTGCCGCAATACAGGCAGTAGTTGAGGGTAGTACTGCCGGCTGACTCAACCGCTATTTAAGTAACGGAAAAAAGATATGCTAGTTTATCATTTAGCAAAATAGAACAACAGAGAGCTATAGGCTGATTTTGGACTAGCCACAACTATTCTAAGAACGGGAACCACTTCACAACGCCAGCCACGAGCGAGAGTTCAATGTTCCGTACAGCCCGCCGATAGAACCCAAAGATGGAGAATGGCAACCTCCCGGTTCGTCGTCTGCTAGCGGAGTCGGGCGCGTGCCCTCTCCCTCGTTTTTTGCCCCGCCGAACCCGCTGAACTTCCCGGATGTGTGGAGAGGGCGCTGCGGTCGAACAAAATGGTGCCACCCAGAGAGCGCTGAATGGAATGGTCTATAGCCACTAATAGAGGAGCCACTGCCAGGATGAGAACAAAAGTGCTTCGATTGTCCCGCCTCCAGCGGGAGCTTACCACCTTCGATGACCCTTCGGCGTCCCGTAAGCTTCGAGTGTGCACGCGCAGCAAAAACACGGAAAAGGAAACGAGCCCGTGTTGGAGGCGCTAAAAAAAAAAGACGCCTTTTCGCCCTTTCGTTTCACCTTATGTTGTACCGCAGCGAAGGCTGGAAGCGCGCCGCCGAGATATGAGGGTAGCTCGCGTTGATAGCCTTTCCTGCGGTACACCATCAGGTGAAATAGAGTAGAAAGCGCAGCACGTATCTTATGATGAAGAGTGCAGAAAGACGTCAATCAGTCGAGAAAAGCTGGCGTCTGAAGCGGATTCGACGAAACAATGGACGTGCGTCTAATTCATAGACGGGGATGCGCTTCTCTACTAAAGCACGTCTCTCGAATCGATCCATAAAAGTGCGGCTTGTCTCGACTCTCTGAACGAGCACGAACCTTCTGTAGTAAATAACAGCGAAATAATGGCGTTCGAGAACAATCCCACGCGCAGTGCACGGTTGGGGCCCGTGCTACACCGAGTTTCCACTTCCAAAAAAGCGCGCGTTTGCGGCGGCAGCGGCTGTTTCGTCGCGACGTCGTCAGGAGGCGCGAGGCGCAGTAGCGACGTTTATCGCCGAGGTTACGAGATATTTATAGTGCTGTCACTTCGGCGCCCACGGGCGAAGCTGGCAGCGCAGCGGGGGTCGCAGTTTCCGCCTAGGCAGGATCTTGATTTCGCACATAATAGCGAACTCGATTGATCGCCAACGAGTTAAGACGTAAGTATCGACGAAAGTGATAGCTCGCGATGTTCGTCGTTAACGGCGTGAGTAATCTTTGTAAACTGTTGGATTGTTTTCTCACGTTGGTCTCGGTGTGTCGACTGTTCCAGAAGGTTCTTAAAGAAAAAAAAAAAAAAAGAGTAAGAGGTGAATTGTAGACTGTTTTATCGCGTAAATCTGAATATCACGTTCGTTTTAGTTGTTTTTTTCCCCGAAGAATTAAACGCGAGAAAACACGAAAAACCACCGACCAGTCGCCACGTGATAAATGACGTTTCGGCCGCCAAGCGCGTGTCACTCGTGTGGGCAGCGCGTGCAATTGCCACCATGCCAGCTATATTCCGCCGCCGTGACACCAGTCGTGACGTCCTTTTCTGACCTTTTTTGAAAATAGCGAGAGTGCGCTGGCATTGCTTTGATAGGCGCTGAAGATGCGCCAGAGCGGAAATTCC